TCTTAACTACCACAAAACTCTGACGATGGAAGAAAGAAGGTTTTTGAAACGTCAGTTCAAAACTAATTTGGTCCATGAACCCGCCGCCTCTTTTTTTTCCTTACTTTTGGGAGACGATGAACGTGATAATATATTTTGTAAAAAATATGCGAAAATATAGCCTGTCATGTAATAATTCTGTAGTGAATTGCATCATCTTTGTACCATACACTTTAAGGAAGTGTATCATTTCTTTAGTAACGTTTGTACTAATGAGCTTTTGTAGGATCTTTAAATGTCCATTAATACAACGTCGCATTTGCCCATTGATGAATGCTACTTTTACGGTCCACTTCCATTGCCGATTATTAGGAGTCATATATGATACCTTCGTATGAGGGAAAATTAATTTATTATATTCCTTACGCGGAAGGTAGAAATCATGCAGTTCGCCAATCTCCGACCGAAGTACAAACACAGGCCGGGAAGTAGAGCAGTTTGTTGTAACCCTTTCCTCATTTATACGTTTTAATGAAGACGTAATAAAGTTTTTTTTATGTATGGTTCCTAAAGATGTATTTGAATTGATGAGAGTATCAGAAGTCAATGAAAAAGTGTTTATACTAATTGAGCAAGTCATTTTTACCAACCGGAAATCTGCAGAGGGCCGTCAATGCACTCAGTTGAAAGCTGACATTCTGTCGCTACTGAAAGGCTTTGAAATGTGCTATATGATAAGCAGTATTCTAAGTTAACCTCTGCACGTTTACGTGTTAGTGAATGCTGAGTAAATTTTAGGGACCTAGCTGTGTCATTTTAACCCTACAACTTAATCATCATACCCGAATATCAAGTAGCCAAAAGACTTAAAGTCTGCTTACATCACCATGCCACCAGCTAGACGTTTTTCGTTCCTATTTCTAATTCTATCGTTTTCACAGAAGATCACGCAACTACGTGTTTTGCGTCGTGTAGCAACATTCCACGACGTGTCAGAATTTGCACATATGCGATCAGTATTTTCAAAAGCAGTTTGTGAATGCTCACCGACACGTTTTCCATCCTCGTTCTCTTGAGTAGTTCGGTGGAGGCGTGGAATCTACAATTATCTATGGTCCCACGAGCCCACTTCCCCGATACGCCAGCGTGAATGTGACGTTTCGGGGATTTGGGAGGTCGTTCAACCTGTTGGAAGTTGGCTACCGTTCAGAATTCGGAGGCAAGTTGCGGCATGCTCTACTGAACGAACCAGAGGAAATGCCAAGTGTGCACGATGCCGCACCATTTCCCTATCAAGCGCAAAACTTCACCTTCGTAAGGTTTTATAGAAATGAAAATTTGTCTTGTCTGCACATAAATTAAATTAAAGCGAGAGTAGACTTTCGCACTCTGCATCTACCGCACTCTGTCCTATTTCCCCACCTGGGCCCTGTTTAATGAAAAAGTCAAGATCTGAGGGAGGAGAGGGCGCAGATGCCTGGCGCGGCCGGGGTCACCAAAAATGGTTTGGATCTCACGATCTGGGAGTTCCAGTAAGGCCACATTAAGAAGGAGTCATTGCAGCCTGATCCCTCGTCCGCCAGTCGGCCACTGCCTACAGACGCACATTGAGCTGGCCGCGCGGTCAGAGGTATCCTGTCACTTGGCAACCTTATTGAGGAGTGTTAAGGCTAACAGAGTTAACCCTAACGTCTGCGATCTTCCAGGCCCGGTTCCTAAGGAAATGGGAGAAGTCATGGGAAAGCCAGGTTAGTAGGATGAGTCTATTCTGTAAATAAGGGTAAGGGTATAGTAGGGAGGAAGTTGCCACTCGGTCTGGCATGGCATTGGACCGTAAGTGCCATGTGAGAGCGGGGGGTCGTCACAGCGGCCAACGACCGCCTCCTGTTGGGGCGGATTTCAGTGTGTTTTTTAGCGAAGGACAGGATTTTCGTTGGAGAAGGGACATAGAGAATGTCAAACTTGTCCAGCCGGAAATAACAGAAACTGCTGATAGGTGGATGAATAGATATATAGGGTTAGTCAAAAAAATTCATAAATTGATGAATACTATTTTTTAATCTGAATTCGTTCCTTGTTTCTGAAAACAACGATTGATTTCATCTGCCTGCACCTCCTTTTGCTGATTTAAGATCAGCTTTTCCATTTTCAAGATATATGTACTTTAAAATGTTCTTGTTTATATTGATTTTCTATCAAAGCATAACACAAAAAACAAAAAGGCTTGGTCCTGTTATATTAAGTAGCAAAGGAAAGTTCTCGAATATCTGGTGACCTCAAATTTCGATTACTTCATATCTGTCTCCCTTTATAAACATGAGCTATACATGTAGTTTCCACTATTAAATGGCCTTATCAAAGCCCCTCAACCGATCAAAATAACAGAATCAAATGTACGTTAAACCACCAACTTTAATTTCAACTACGCCTTTGCATGAATTAGGTCACCTACTGTGTACTTTAAAGCAACTATGTTACTCTTCAAGTAACTTTGAACTCATTTCTCCTGTAATTCCCAGGATCAGATCGTCGCTCCAAATTTCTTGTTTCTGGAAAAAAATGTGTTTGCTCATATCTGCATTTACCTGGTTTTTGCTGAGTTAAGCTCATATTTGCCATTTACAGAATAGATTTATTAAAAAATTCTTGTTTTTATTGACCTTCTTTTAAGGTATAATGTAAAAAACAAAAGACCTCGTTACGTTTTATTAAGTTGCATAGGAAGAGTCTTGGATATATGGCAACCTAAAATTCTGCTAAATTTCTATCAGTTTTCCTTTACTAAAATGCCATATATATACAGTTCCCATTATTTAAAGACTTTCTAAGTATCAAATCCACCCAGAAGATCAAACTAACATAATAAATGTACGCAAACCTGCCAACTTCAATTCCGGTCATGACTGTACATGCTTTAGGTCACCTACTATGGATTGTCGTTAATTGTGAACTTACAAGATACTATTATTTTCCCCTATAGTACTCAGGATCAGATCGTCGCTCCTCAGCATTTGTGCGACTATTTGGGCATGAGGTCTTCCTCTCCATGGACGCGGATGAAGACTTCAAGGGCCTTTACCCTGCTAAGGCAATGCAGTCGTCGCTGCTTGAAGTGGATGAAATCGTCAGCCTTCCGACGGTCGGTGGATTGAGTTTGCAAGTTGCTATGCTTGGTGTCTCCTCACAGAAACTGAAGTATGACTTAAACTGGACGGGCGTGTTGATAGACTTTGACGCCAGGTTAGCGCACTATCGGAGCACTTTTTTGCATATAATTCTTTCCCAATATGTACATCATTTCTATATTTCCCGACAATATTGCAGAATGGAATCGGGCTATATGCTGTCTTTGATCATAGGGCGCGTAGCCATTACAGTTCTTGTATATATTATTTATATCGCGTAAAGCCGTCCTGCCAGGGCATAAACAATAAATAATATTCGGGCCATATTTTTAGTCCTATGACCGATTTGAGGATGGGCTGTTAGAACCTGGCCATCCGCGCAATATTAATCACTTACTCAAGTGACAATATAATCTAGGGGTAAAATGGTCTATCTAGTTTGTGCTATAAAGGTAACTGCTTAAAGCACAAACTTCGGGCATCAGCCGATCTGTTATAGCTCAGTTTAGCCAAACGCCAAATTCTAATTGCAATAAAAAGATTAAAGAGTAATTCCTGCTGACGTACTTCTCTTAACGGTTAAAATGCTTACTTCATCCCACACATTGGAAACTGTTACTAGTCTAAACGTGTTCCAGGTGTTCAATTATATACTATATTGTAGACGAATATAAGTATCATGTACTCTGTACTCCTCATTACATACATTTTTACTTTAGTCAACAGAAAATAGGCTGCATTCTGTGCATACCTTTTAGTCATTCAGAAGGACTTAACGACCCAAAAAATTATTTTACAGGACTGTTCACAAACGAACCTAAACATTTTCCTAACATCCCAAGTCAGGCTATTCTTCTTTTGTTAATCATTATCCCATTTCTTTTAAATACACATCTTTTTCCTAAACGAAAATAATAATTCATCAAGAAATATTTTAATAGTAGGACAACTCAAAGGAATGTAAGCCTGTGTCAATCAAACGTCACAACCGCTGACTGGATACATCATTTTTTTTCGAAAAATTAGGTAGTTTGAGTTAATCGACAATGTTCGGATGGTGCGATTTACCAACTATGGTTCACTTTAGAGTTGCTGTTAGTGTTAAAACTACTTTTAGGTTTAATGATTTTACGGTCTTCCGATCAACCTTAAACCAACTCAGATTAGATTAATACCACATTTTGGAAGCAACTCCCAATTGCTTCTGTTTTCACTATCCATTTATAACATTCCAAACCGTTGGAATGAACGAAAAACAGGCAGTTATTAATGACCTTATGTATTTCGGTATTAGCCAGGCAGATCAATCAAAAGCCTCTTAACCATAACCTCAAAATACTAAGCCGTATTTAAATAAGATATTCCTGTAAGTGCAATTTTCCAAGGTGCGTAATCAGAAATGTGTTTCGACACGCTTCTGTCTAAAGAAATCCAGTAACTTGACAAGCTCACAGACGAACCCAGCAAATAATACCATAAGTAAATGTCAGCTGTAACTATTCTGAAAAGCGTAGCCAGATCGCCCATATAAGAACAACTTTGCTCCTGTGGGACGAGACTTTTATTGGCCTGACGTTTCGAAATCCGTCCAGGATCCTTCATCGGAAACAATAGCACAAACGCGTAATTCATGCACAGGGAGTTGCAGTATGCATAGGCTACAGCCACTATACTGCTGCACAATTATGACGAATAACGATTCATCTATCGAGGCTAATTGTACGCTTGTGCGTTAATGGCCTGACGACCGGCATGCGGGCTGTGGCCTGCTGAACTTTGATCTCACGTGGTGGAATTGGAAGTGATAATTACTCGGTAGTCTGGCCCTATGACGCTAGTGTTAGATGACACGTTGGCCCGTGCGTTCCCCTAATGGTGACTTACTTTGGTCGAATT